GGAGGAGCCAGACGCCAGCTCCCCAGAAAAGAAAGGAAGCCGCACGGCCCTTCTCCAGCCTTCCCCGTCAACCACGGCGAACCGAGCCCCCTCTACCCTCGAGGGTTCAGCGGCGAAACGAGCCCCTGTCACCATCGAGAATTCCGCGACTCAACTCACCGCTTCGGCGTACTGTGTCGACGGGCGGGACGGCCCAGCGGTCGCAGCCGTCCTCGCCCACGTTCATTACGACGCAGGGCAGCCCTATGAATTCGCAGACCACTCCTGGTGGCGAGAGCAGTGATGAGGTGCCCACCGAGACAGAGATGGACACAGAAAGCGAGGCCGAAGAGCCACCAGTGCCTGTACGGATGCAGACACCATGCAACAATAAGCGCAAGCGGGCGTTGCTGAGCCAGCAGTCCTCGACTGCTCGCAAATCGGTACGGTTCGGGCCGCCGCTCAGCCCAGAAGTGTTTGAGTCGGGGGCACCGCCGTCGACGCCGCTACGTCGTGGAACGCCCATGCAGATCCAGCGCGTATCGAGCATCCTGCGTATGTCTGGCGGCCACATGCCGCTGATGGTCCAGCCCGAGGCCCTACAGTCGCTGCTGCAGCCCCGAGCGCCGCGCCGCCCTGCCGTGTTTGATCTGCTGGCTCGTATAACGTCGGAGAGTGCTAGCGAGTCAAAGAGGCAGACTCAACAGCCCGGGCCCAGCACTTTGGCCAATAGCAGCTTGCTGGTCGACCAGTTCTTTGACATGGACCGGGCGTCGAGCGAGCGCGAGTCCGTGGCCGTGACAGCATCGGCCATGGCGCTGCCTGTAGTGGAGAGCACAGAGAGCCCGACGGCGTCGCCCATGACCCGGGCGATCGTGTCGGCGCTGAACGCGGCGCAGGCCAAAGAGACTGTACAAGACACTATCACGCCCCAGCGGCTGGTTGAGCCGCCAGAGGAGGATATGCCGCAAACTGCCCGGCCCCAGTTGGATATCATGGACATTGAGTCGCCCAGTCAACTGGGCAGCCCGGCAGACCGCCGCAGCCGTCGTCGCCGTAGTTTGTCGCGTGAGCAGCGGCGGGCGACGCTCGGCGCGGTGGCATCGCTAGATAGCCAGTCGCCGTCGTCGGCGTCGCCATCGCTGCTGGTGCGTACACGGGCAGCGGGAGGCGACCTGACTCCGTCGCGCCTGTTCCAGAACACCACGCCGCAGCGGGCCCGGGACCGCCACCATCGCCGACGCACGGCACCGCCAGCCGTGGCAAATGGCGGCTTTGGCGAGTTTGGCCCTTCGATTGCCGAGATGGCGGCGGCACTGGGCGAGGATTTCCCCGTGGCACTGGGCCCCGCACACTCTGCGTCACCGAGCAAGGCCGAGAAGAGTGAGCGGAGCGAGGAGGAAGAGGAGGAGGAGGAGCCAGCAGAGGAGCCAGGGGATGAGAGCAAGAGCGATATTGAGCCTGCTTCGCCATCGCCCGTGCCCCTACTCCCAGTGTCCGCCGAGGAGCCGCTGGGGCTGGCCGACGCTATGCACTTGCTCGAGGTTGGGGCGGCTGGCAGCAGCGACGGGAGCGAAGATGAGAACGGGCGCGAGGTGGCTATGAGTCATGCTAACGCGTCCGATGCGCTGTTGCGGGAACAGGCGGAGCTGCAAGCGCGCATCGGCGGGTCGGCCGACTCGTCCTTGCTGCTGCAGCTGGAGAGCCCTGAGCGGGAGGAGGAGGAGGGACAGCGGCAGAAGCGGCGGCAGACCACCAACTTTGAGCATTTGCGCACAGCAGTGGGCGACGTGAGCGACGAGAGCGATATGGCGGCAGAAGAGATCCTGGCCCGGCGGCAGCGCTTGCGGCGGCAGCAGGAGCGGCGGCGGCGGCGGCAGACCGTGGCCGAGCTCAAGCGGCGGCGGTCGTCATGGCGCGGCTGGAACACGGCGCAGCAGCAGCTGTCGTCACCGCCGCAGTCCCCGGAGCACGTGCCCAGCCATGAATCGGCGGGTGACTTGGCTAGTAGGGGCAAGGAGCAGGGGGGCAATCCCGCTGACCTGGCTTGTTCGACGCCTGCTCCTCCGAAATTCGGTACTTTTGCATCCCAGACTATGTATCCGCCGGCAGCGTGGAACCGGTCGTCGAGCTCGGCGTTTGAGCGGAACAGTGAGCCGCCAGTCAGCCAGGGCGGGCGGGAGCTGCCCAAGCGGCGGCGACTGACGCAGCGGCCAGACGAGCAGCAGTTTGCCTATCCGCCCCGGCCCGAGCCGATTGACGCCGGCTGGGAGCACGTTGATGCGTCGGAGATTGAACAGGGCGATCCCGAGGAGACGTCGACACCGTCTGAGCAAGGGCAAGAACTATCCCAGCAGGTCGAGCTCCATGCAGTGAGCCAATCGCCGGACGCCGATGTTACCCAGACCCCAGAGCCGCCGAGCCGTCGGCCTGCAGATGAGGACGCTGCCGATAATCCACTTGCTGCTACCCAGCCGGAAGAGCCCCATGCAGCGGAGAACGGGTCACAAGCACAGGAACCGGTTTCGAAATTGGGGCATGCGGATGGCCAGCGTCACCGAGCAAAGAGCGGCGGGCGAACCCCCTTGGAGAGTAGCGGACGAACTGCGTCAAGGAGCAGCGGGCGAACTGCGTCGAGGAGCAGCGGGCGAACTGCGTCGAGGAGCAGCGGGCGTACCACGCCAGGGAGCCGTGAGCTCAGTGCCCTGTCTCTTCCGGACATTGCTGATACAGACAGAGTGGTGGTGGGCGGGCATTCCCTGCGGCGGCAGGCAGATCAGGCAGTGAAGGGGGTCAAGGACGCGAAGGTACCAGCGGTCAAGGACATAAAGGCACCAGCGGCCAAGGACATAAAGACGCCGGCGGCCAAGGACATAAAGACGCCGGCAGAGAACCCTCGGAAAACGAGGCCTAAACCGGCTGCTTCGGCCGTCGATGTGGTATCACCCATGCGCACGCGCAGCAGCGGCCGGAAGAGGCCTGGGGGCAGCGAGCCGTCGAAACCGCCAGCGAAGCGGGGGCGGGGGCGCCCGGCGAAGAGCCGCAGCAAGCCGCAGGTACTGGCATCGCCGCCGGCTACACGAGCAGCATCCAGACGCACAAAGAAGCCGTGAGCCGCACAAACATCCATTACGCTGCCTTGCCTGCCTGTCCTTATGCATTTTTTTATTAGTTCCTTGTCGATCATTTTTTTCTCTCTACTATTCCCCACACTGGAAAAAAAAAGCTGCCTTTGGTGAGTGTGATCTACGGTGGAGAGTGTCATTCATTCATTTTCCATTTACAGAGGCATCTGTTAAAAAGGGGACCAACCATTATGCTCGTAGCTCCAGCGAACCTCCAAAAAAATACCTTCCTCCCTCTTTCCCCGCGGCCTACTCTGTCTACCTTCTATTTATCTGTTCTAGAAGGCGCTAATGGCCATTTCATTCACCTACGTCAAAGACGCCTACCTCTTTAGCAAAAAGACGTACATATTCCCCGGCCTTTTGGAGAGTAGCACACAGTCGGTAGATCTGGCCCCGCTATGGACTATACAGCTGGGTGATCGCGAGTCTACCCTGTGCCAGGGCAAAAGCGGCCCACCACTGGCCACTGCCCTTGTAGATCGGAGCCTTATACAGTTCACTTGGCAGGGCCGTGTAACCAGCGGCGGGGCCGATAGCTTAAAGTCCACCTGGGCCATAGTCGACTTTGACGGGAACAGGTATGACTGGGTGGCCGGCATGATGCAGTACTGCTGGAAGCTGGAGAACGCGGATGGCCGGCAGATCGCCCAGTTTATTGGCATGTCGCAAGACTACAAGATTAGAGGCACGTTGGTCCTCCACGCCAAAATCAGCGAGTCGCTTATTTCACTTCTTCATTTATCGATCAGGCATCTAAAATAAACAATACCCCCTTCACCTAGAAGCGCTTGATCCGACGCCGGCCACTTGGCAGCAGCCCATCGTCGTCTTTGGCAGGCGGGGGTTTGGCACCCAGGCCCAAGAGACTTGGCCGCGCCTTTACGTCATCGCCCCTGTCCTCGGGCCGATCGCCAGCCCAGCCCATGCCGCGGAGCATGGCTGCGCCGAATTCCTCTACAGGCACCCGCTCATACGCGTCCTGGCTGACGTCAGAACCGCCCTCTGAGCCGCTGCTACTATTACTGCGCTGGCGGCGCTGCGGGATCACATGTTGGTGGGCAGTGCTATCGCCGGTCAGCTCATCGATTGCCTTTTGCCGTTCCATCCAATTGGCGTCCTGCTTGACTGGGATCACCAGGGGTTTGTTTGCTGGGATGTTGTCATCGGCGGCAGTGAGGGAACTCCACTCTTTCTGGTCCGGTTTGGTGCTGGCTTCCTCGCCAAAGGCGCTGGACGTGGCCAGGGGCTTTTTGGGAGCCGCGGTGAGCTTGACACCCTGGAAGCCTGACGTGCCTGCTGCCTTTCCGAGAAGGCTGCTTTTTACTGGTTTGGGCCCGGACTTTCGCATGATGAGAACCAGAGATACACAAGAGGTAACCGGTGTGGGGTTATTCGGGTGGCAATTAACGGTTTTGGCCAGAGCAATGGGTGATATGGGCGAAAACACGACCAGGCCGGGTCTGGTGAAGAGAAAGGATATTGCTGGAAGAGACGGGCTATTCATTGGATATACTCGAGGCCGAGCTAGTTTGCAGATGCTGAATACAAATAGCAAAACATATCTCCATTCTCCCTGTCTGGGACACTGGGGGGATAGCACAGACGTGGTTTCAAAATTATAGGCCACCGAACACTCGCGCATGTCTCTGGTCGCCAAGCTAGCACGAGTTCATGGGCGAGGCGGGAGTAACGACAGCCATATACGGCTGCCAAAAAACCATGGCTGATCTTGAGAGACAGATCAAGGCCTTACAGCGATAAGAAGCGTTGGTGCATGTGCAGTAGCACAGTTGGTGCGGGGCCTCTGGACCAGCAGCAAAATGAAAAGGGGCCGCACAGGGCACCAGCTCCCCCTTTCCATACAGCAAAAAAATAACCGAGGCAAAAAATTTCAACCCTACGCGGGATTCGAACCCGCAACCTCAGCTTTAGGAGAGCTACGCGCTATCCAATTGCGCCAGCAGGGCGAAAACAGCAGACACGAGACCTACTTTTTCCAAAGAAAACAATGGAATATAGTCAAGGGCAGGGGTATCTTTGGGACCTAGACTGGGGAGAGTTTTGGTGCAACCCGGTTGTAGCAGCAGGGTGGGGGACTAAGAGGGGCAAGAGTCTTTGGAGGACGGGCACAGCGTTCTCTTCTCTTCATTGACAATGATCTATCTCCTGGTAATGCTGTCAGTGCGGGCGGGGCGGGCGATCGGACGGCGAGTGGCCAAGTGGTGGCGGCAGGTGCGCATGGTCCGGATGTTGTTCGTGCACCACACGTGACAGCAATCAGATCAAGCTGGAAAATTTTTCAATGGGTGGTGGGGGAGGTGGGACTTTTGGCATTCAGCCAAGCAGTCTTGGCTTCATTGAGCAATTCATTTCCTAGGTATATTCGCAGGATGGAGAGGGCACTTGTAGATGGCGATTGGTCGGCACAGGCCACGGAGCTGCTGCGGTTTGTGGGCGGGCTGCGGGGAGTGGATGCCGATGCGTACGCGGCATCTGAAAAGGACGTGGTGAGCGAGTGCCAGGGAGTGCTGGCGCGGGCACCGGAGGACAAGCTGGAGGCAGCATTCAACCAGCTGTTTGCGGTGGCCGGGGCGCGCGAGGGCGGGATCGACGCGGCGGCGCCGGCAATTGCGCGCGATGTGGCGGCGACAGCCGAGAGCGTGGGCGGCGGGCTGCGGGTGCTCAACAACCTGTTCAACGTGGTGGCGGGCGGTGCGGCACGTGTGGCGGTGTTCTCTGCGCTGGTGGAGCTGGCGGCGCGGGGCAAGATGGTGGGGGTGCTGGTGCCAGTGGTGTCGCGCCTGGCCAAGATGGTGGGTGAGTGGGTGGCTGGTGGCGCGAGCCCGGCGGCCTGCGGCGACGCGGTGCTGGAGTTGCGGACGGCCTTGGATGCGGCGCAGCTGGCCAACGAGGCCTATGCTGCCGAGCTGGCCTTCCTGGAGGCTGTAGGTGCCGATGACGCGCGCTGCGTTGATGTGGCGACGGCGGCGATTGTGCGCTTTGCCAACCTGGCGTCGGTGTGCGACGTCGATGCGCTGGCGGGCTTGGGCAGCGTGCAGGCGCTGAGCGCGGGCGGGCGCCTGGGCGTGGCAGGCGCGCTGCTGGACACGCTGGTGGCGAGCGACTACCTGCAGTGGAAGGAGTACGCGGCGGCCAACCAGGCGGGACTGGCGGATCTGGGCGTCAACGCCGAGCGGGCGGGCGACAAGATGCGGCTGCTGACGGTGGCGTCGATTGCAGCGACGCGGCTGGGCGAGGCGGTGCCGTTCGGCGACGTGGCGGCGGCGCTAAATGTGGAGGACGACGACGTCGAGACGTGGGTGATCGACGTGGTGCGGTCGGGGCTGATGCAGGGCAAGATGAACCAGGTCAGCCGCACGCTGGTGCCGACGCGGTCGACGTACCGCACATTCGGGGCGGCGCAGTGGGAGCACCTGGCCGAGCGCCTGGCGCAGTGGGGCCAGGCCCTGGACGCGCTGCAACCAGTGATCCGGAACGCCAAGGTAGTGGCGCAGCAGCAGGCCGTGCAGATGGCCGGGCAGTCGCGCGTCACCATCAAAGAGTAAGGCTTCTTTTTTCTTTGCTTCTAAATTCCTTTTTTTCCCCTGGATGACCTAATGGCGGGCGCCCGTGGCTACTCCAGGGCCGCCCTAGCACACTTGTGCGCCCGCGAGTTCCAGCTCTGTGCCGCCCGTGCCGAGGCTGCCCGCGTGCGCGAGCACACTGAGCGGGCCCTGGACGACTTGGCCCAGGAGTCGACCGAGCTGCGCCGCCGTGCCGAGCGTGGCCGCCGGCGAATTGCCGCTCTGCGCCGGCGGGCCGAGCAGCGAGCGCGCTGGGTCGAGGAAGCGTCCGGCTGTATAGAGGAAGCCTCTGGCCGTGTCATAGAAGCCTCCGGGCGTGTCGAGAAAACACCGGGCTCTACCACAGACGCCGCGGGCAGTGTTGACGAGCAGCAGCAGCAGCAGCAGCAGCAGCAGGCTGGCGTCGGGGGCCTGGACGAGCCAGCGATGCGGCAGCGTATTTCCAAGGCGGTTGTGACGCTGCGGCAGGATCGGATCATTCTCGAGGACGTGCGGGCGATGTTGGCGCGGGCGCGGGCGCGAGTTTCTCGCGATTTGCAGCTGGTGTTTCCGTTGGAGCTGGGAGCGGACGGCTGGACCATCTGTGGCTTGCGCGTGGCCCGCGAGGGCGACCGCCGTCGTACGGCCGAGGAAACCGCGGCGGCTTTGGGCCTGGTGGCCTGTGTCGTCGACTATTTGGCGCGTTCTTTGTGCGTGCCCCTACGGTTCCCGCTGCTGCCCCGCGGCTCGCACTCGCTGGCCATCAACCCCCTGGGCCCGGTGGAGCTGCCTCTGTTTACAAGCGATTCGCGGAGCCGGAGCGGACTGCGGCTTTTGGCGGCCGACATTGAGCAGCTCTTGGCGCTGCTGGGAATCTCCGAGGTTGACCGTGCCCAGCTCCTGCCCAACCTGGTCCAGCTGCTGCTGGCTGTCGAGTCCAGCTCGTTTGCCTGATTATTTCTTTTTCTTCTGTTTTTGCCCTACTTTTATTTGTTCTAATTCAACGCCCCAATGGACGATGGCGACGCTGTCTCTTTGCCGTGGGCCCAGGACGCTGTGCTTGCCTGGGCCGGTCGCCGGCCTGTTCAGGAGGAGGTCTCGGACGCAGAGCTTCGCCACCTGTCGGATATCTGCCGGCTGTCTGTCCCGGACGTCTGTGCATTGCTGGCCACAAAAGGACTGCGGCTAGAGCCCAGCGAGCCCAGCACATGGCGGCTGGCGCGCACTGACTGTGCCCTGCCGGCTGACGAGTCCCCTTCGGAGATCGCGCGCTTGGCGGCCGACGTGCCCCGGCTGCTGTCGTGGTCCACTGATGACACGGCGGCGCGGCTGGACCCTGGTGCGAAGACGGCCGTGGCCAGCCTGGCCAAGACGGCCTTCAAATCCGCTTCCCTCGAGCGTCAGCTGGACGAGAGCGATGATCTGTTGGATGGCGTGATGTGCGTGGCCGCATACCGCATGGCTACGGGCAAAGACCCTCGGTTCCTGGGCCATTTGTCGGCCGTGCGTCATGCTTGGGCGGCCGAAGTGGCCAAGCTGCGTGCTTATGTGGTGCGCCGGAACTCGACTAGTCTTCGCAAGTCGGCGCGGGCTGCGGCGACGCGCACTACCAGCTATTACGAGGCAGCCGACGAGGGTGCACTGTCGCAATTGGCCGAAAACACTGTGGCGGCGGCAGGCAACGGCACTGCTCGGAAGAAGCGCCGGGCGAATGGAGATTCAACCGAGGCGGAAATGCCGGGGGTGGTACGGGGAAAGTTGGCGGATGTGGCGGAGCTGTCGCCGTCGGCGCTGCGGGCCAAGATTCTTGAGCAAAGCGACTCTGTATGTATCCAGTCCACGACGAATCGCCCGGATGTGTCCCAGCTCGGCCGGGGCCGGGACTTTGTCCCTTTGGTCTTTTCACGGTCGGATAGCGAGCCGCCGCACTATATTGTTGAGCCGCGGATAATCAGGCGGTATGGGAAGAAGCGACTACAGAACCAGGGGCTGCACGAGTACCTGGTGGAAGGGTTTCCGGCCCCGGTGCACCCGGAGCTGTGGCTGAAGCAGCAGCGCGCAAAGTATGTGGATTGGCTCCAGAATGCGGCGGGTTGCGAATCCGTGAGCCTGGAGAACGAGGTGGTTCAGAGTCGGTGCATGACCATGGTCCCGCTGGCCGCAGGCATGTGTGGCGGGTGTACAAGGCGTCGATCAGACTGCTACTGTGCCTTCAAGGACGTGCGGCTGATTACGCACTTGCGGGCAGTGCTTGGCAACGGTGAGGAGATAGACCGGTATCTCATTGCGCCCATGTTTTGCAACGAGAAGGTGAAGCGCGGCCATGTCTCGATTGTCGTTCGTCCGGCGCAAATTCCCGAGTGGTGTTTGAGTAGCGATGTGTCGACCATGCCTCCAGCCATGGGCGAGATGCCGCCTGGAGAGTGGGCCCTGTTCTACAACCAGTTTCTGACCGCCCAGACCCTGATGCACTCGCTGGACATGATCCAGAATGTCCTGGTCGATGATGAGGAGCCCGTGCTCAATGGCGTCGAGTACGGAGTGCATCCGCGGCTGGGATGTTCGGCCGTGCCGTGTGTGTACCGGGCTCTGGCGCCGGGCAGCCGCCAATCCTGCGATTTTTGCTCGACGTCGATCCTATCGGCCTACTTTACATGCAGCCAGTGTATGACCGAGCTGTGTCCGCGGTGCTTCTACGATATGGACGACAGCAGTGCGAACACCGACACCCGGGTGTATCACAAAACCAAGGCCGGCACGGCAAAGATAGACCTGTCTTTGCGCTGCCGGCATATGCGGGTGAGAGACAATGTCCAGGTGCGGGTGGGCATGGTGCACAGGCGGCGGCAGTTTCTGCGCATGTCGCAGTTTACAATGGAGGATGTTGCGCAGGTGCGGGCCAAGGTGCAAAAGTTTGTGGCTCTGGATCGCTGGAGTCCGCGGGTCGACTGTATGGGTCCGGTGGACGACTGTACGCTGAATTGGCTGCACACCAAGATGGCGCGCTTGGCCCGGCGAGCGCGCGACTTGCATGTGCACGAGGCATGGGAGCTGCCGGTCATGTATGTAGATGCCGACGAGCTGACTACGCGGGAGTTTTCGCAGCTGTGGCGGCGGGGCCAGGTGGTGGTGGTACGGGGGTTGCTGGAGAAGCTAGATAGTGAGATCTGGAAGCCTGACTGGTGGATCCGCAAGCAGGGCTACGAGCTGGTCAGCGTGCTGGACTGCGCCAAGCATGCTGCGCCAGTGGCCGGCGGCGAATGGCCACTACGTGACTTTTACCGGTTGTTTGATGGCCAGGACCACTACGCCGACATGTTTGATGCCGATATGGAGGCGGCCAGCGACTGGCCCAGCCACCGTGCCAGTGTCGAGCAGGGCATTTTGAAGCTAAAGGACTGGCC